ATTTTAACTACATTAAAAGTTCTTATTATTGGAGAATCAGGTGTTGGTAAGAGTAGGTTTCTTTTACGATTTAGTGATAATATATTTGATGAAGATAAGACAGCAACAATTGGTGTTGATTATAAAGGTAAAATTTTAATAAGAAACTCGCGTGAAATTAATAAAAAAAGAACATTTTCTAATTTAGTTAAACAATTAGAAATCAATGACAATCGTGTTAAACTGACTATTTGGGTAAATATATGAAGTATTAAAATAACAGAGAAAAATCTTCTAAGCACAACACATAAATTTTATTTTTACATAATCTAATTTAAAATCGAAAATAATTAAAGTCGTCTCATATAAGAAATGTCAAGGTATTCTTAATTTAATTTCTTTATTGTAGGATACAGCAGGACAAGAACGATTTCGTACATTATCACTTGGCTGTATGTATTTTTTATTTTAATCATATAAATAATTCATTTACATTTATTTAGATTATCGGTAAAATTTATTCTAAATCTAAATATTGTTAAAATAATTATTTGTTCAGCGGTGCTCAAGGTGCAATTCTTGTCTATGATATCTGCGATCGTCAGTCGTTTCGACAATTGGATCGGTTGTATACAGAAATAAACAGACAACAATATATTTTATTTGAATTGGTTTATTTTTAGATGGATTTCAGAATTAGATACATTTTCAACAAAAATAAATCCTATTAAAATGCTTGTTGGAAATAAAATTGATCAAAAACATAGTCGTGAGATAACATATGAAGAAGGTGATAGATTTGCACGTAAACATTCAATGCTATTCATTGAAGCATCAGCACGAACCAGTGAAGGAGTACAAATTGCTTTTGAAGAACTTGTTGAAAAAGTAAAATTAGACAGAAAGAAATTCAATATAATTTTTCATATTTTATTATTCAGATCCTCGAAATACCATCATTATGGGAAAAAACTGAAGCAGCGATTCGACGAACTGATAAGAATTATTCAGATAATGTATCAGCAAGATGTTCTTGTTAAAATAAAAAAAGATTTTTTATTTACTCAGAGCATACCAAAACTAACAAGATTATGATACAAAAAAAATACGGAAAGAGCCAAATCAAGATTTTATTTCATTGAATGTTTGGAGTAGTTGTTCTTATTATTTGTAGAAAACTGTATCCCTCGAAGCCACTCTCAAAGAATTTTTCTAAAATCATATTTAGTGAATAAGATAAGTGTCTTAGTTGAGCAGTCATCCAATGCCGCAATGTTGAACATTCCAGGAACCAGTTCCGCACTGGAATCGATTCCATTCAACTCCGGGAACTCGATCGACACATAACATCCGATACCACTAGAAAATTCATCGAGTTCTGTCAGCTTTCGAAATTGGTAGGAATTTCGTGCAATTCCGGAATCGGAATCAGTTCCCGGAATTCCAGAATTGGTGGGAATCGGTTCCGGTGCAGAACTGATTCCTCCAATGTTCAACATTGCGGAATAGGACGCATTCTGTCTTGGTTACGGCGGGTGGGTGTTGGTTTGATGAACCCACCACACTCACATCTATATTCGCACTCTCAGGATGTTCACACCTATACACTCGCGTCCTTTCTAGTTCTTGAATCATAGTGATTTCATAATCATACATTATTTTTTAGATTTAGTCTACCTTCGCCCAAGACGCATTTCGCCGAAAATAAAATCTACCGAATTGATTCTATAGGCAACAATTGTGTTTTGGATAATTAATCTGTGATACTAAATCAATTGATCTTCAAATGAGGCGACTCCTAAGTCAGATGGCTCCCATGTCATTTGATTGCCATCTTAGATGGTTACTAACTCAGATGAATGGGTGTGGGCAGATTTTGAGATGATAGACACCCAGACCCTCGCCCACACCCTCACCCACACCCCGCACCCCAAACCCATATGAGTTGGTAGCCATGTCAGTTGGCAACCGTCTAACTTGAAAATCGTTCCACTTGGGGATCAACTGATTTGATATCATAGGCTTATTATCCGAAACACAATTGTTGCTTATGAGATCAATTATATACAGTTTGTATGGACTTTCAGTGAGAAATTCATTTGGCAATTTCATTTGGCGAAATTCATCGTTGGTGAAAAAAAATTTCGGAGAAAGTGGAATTAACCATTTTTCATTCTTACTATGACAAACGAAGCTTTCTTTCCGATTCATTCAGCATCACTCACAATCATCAATATGAAATATAAACAGTCATCAATACTACGTCATCGTTGGAAACTTTTTCTTTACTCTTCATTTGTATTTAAACTTGTGTTTCTTCTGTTTCTTTCCATTACATTCCTACAACACATAGAAAGATGACATCAACCAATGCAAGTGAAAAAACCATACCCGCTCTTTTAGAAGGTAAAAATTTCAAAGTCTTTACATCTTGTTCGCATCTTCGGTGATATATATTTCTTATTTAGAAGCAAAGGCAAATCTGTATACATTGAAAATAAGCTCAATCACAGAGCTAAGAACGTTTTCCAAGCCACCTGTAGTATGTGAGCTGGTATTCAAAGGTATTGGAGTTCTATTTGAACCGACAAAAAAGAAATTCGAATGGATAGACGCCAAGCAACTAATGAACGATCAATTTGTGAATATGATAAGAACCTTTGATATAAGCACTGTTAATAAAGACCAATTGTCACGACTTACATCAATTCTAACTCGAGAAGAGTGTCAACCAGAACGTGTTAAACGAGCATCAAAAGCATGTTACGGTATATGTTTATGACTTCGGGCTGTTGCAGAATGTGCGAAATATCAGCAACAATCGATATAAACATTAAATTGAATACTTAACTTTCATTCTAGAGTTCAAGATGCTTTTTTGTGCTGAAGTTTTTTTTAAGAGAAATAATCTTTTATGTTGCTTAATAATTGGCAGTGTTGATACATGAGTATGAATTTTTAATTCTACCACATCAAAGGTGATGCGTTACGCGTTTTAGCTGCTAATCTATCTTCCTAAAAGTAAACAAAACACAAAATACTTCTTTTTTTCGTTCTCTTTATATTTTCATATGCTGACATCACGATAGGAGAAAGTTTAAACAAAAAGCAAATTAAACATTATATATAAAAGAAATTTGCTGAATTGGATAATTGTTTTAAGGTTCTAATAGTTTCTGTATTTTCTACTGATACAGTCCAGACATCATTTGAAAGATATCCTCGTGCAAATGTTGTAACTAGTCGATAGTTTGTATCTGATGATAAATTCTTAAAATGATATTTACTTATTAAATATGTTTCATTTAATACAGTCTCTATCATTCAGTTTTACATTCATTTCGAGTTTAAAATAATGAATTTCTTTTAGTCACATCATTGAAATAATAGACGAATTTGATGTAATATCAACACATCTTTTTTCACTAGGTACCAATATTATCGGATGTGGGTGTGGGTGTGGGTGTGCATAAATTATTATTGTATATATATCGAAAATATCCTAAGACAACATCTAGCAAAGGATACTTCTAAACAATCTGCAATTATATTTATTTTAATTTTTCATAATTTTATAAAATAACCTATAGGTAATCTAAATGTTTTGGTAAAATCTTTATAAACACGTCTTCATGATTATAGTCGATGGTTGAACACGATTCCGTCTATAATAATGCGTAAATTGAAGTAATTGCATCACATTGATTAGAAGACAACTTAAAGCTGTTAACAATAATTTTGAAGTAAAAGAAATGTTCATTTCGATTATTAAAAAGGAGACGATGAGAAGTGTTACAGATATAATCAATAAAAGAATAAATACAATAAGACCCCACCATTTGTGAGACATATAACAAGTACCCTTGAAAACATGACATAGAAGCGAGAAAACACTTGAACAAATACCAATCTGATTAAGTACAGAAATAGTACTTTGCTCAGTATATATTAACACGAAACAGATAGCATTAGTTGAAGTAGAGTTCGATAATATTTCACCAGGTGGACAAAGAATTCTTTCATATGTCAACGGTTTATCCATCAGAAAACAATCACTATCTAATACTGGACAAAAATCTCGACCGGATAAATGTTGCAGTTGAAAGATACATCCATCTACAAGTAAAACCAAGGTAATCCATGGAATAAATGCTAATTGAATAATAAGAGATAGACGAAAGCGCCTTGATGATAAAAAATCAATATTGATACCAAAGAAATTCATGATCAATCTTTGATGATCTAATCGAATGATTCCAAATAATTTTTCAACCAATTTTGCTAGTAATCGATTTGGTAGAGACATAAAGAAACATATTTCGAAAAGAAGTAATACGCCATAACCTCCAAATAATATTCCTGTATAGTGCTCGAATTTCATTATGATCAATGATATTGTAATGATTTTCTTGTTGTTGTTGTTGCTGATAATGAATATACTAAGAAATAGACGATGAAAGGGTATGCATCTAATAATGTATCGAGAGAGGATTAGAGATAATAAGAACAAATCTGAATAAATCTACCAAGAATGTTAATGTAATCGACAGTACCAAGTAGTATCAATAAATCCTCATTATTGATCATACACTATTCTTCAACCGAATAATCATTAGCAAGTCTCATTATTGAAAGTGTTAAATTATCACGACATGTAGTGATATATCATAATGCTATTTATCCGTCGATGTTATTTATGCTGTATTATTTATGTTCTTTTCTCTGAATTCAATGAGAACACAAGATGTAAAGTTTGTTTTTTCAAAGATTCGTTATAAGATTTCAATCCCGACATTTTATTGTGAATTAAGAGATACAAAAAAGAAAAATCAAACACTATCAAAGATTTAAAGTTCCTTCCAGAAGACATCGAAAAACAAAAAAAAACGCAACATTCTAAACAGTATAGAGATACATTAAAAGGAAAGACCAAATTTGTTGAGAAGTATATACAAACAGGTATGGATACTATAGAAATGAGAGTAGTTAGTGCTTGAATGGATTCCAAATGAACGTGTCAGATTAATGTGAATCGATTGATTCATCATCATCATCATCTTCTTGAGTATCATGATACTCTTCAGTTTCGGATTGCGTCTCCGTGTTAGTGTTCTCGCCGTTGTTCGGACGACGACGCAGTAGTCTGCAAATGACAGCTGTTGCCCCTCCTGCAGTAGCACCAGATGCAAGTCCCACACCCACGGAAGTTGATGTAGCAACTATTCCAGTAGCTGCAGCAGACTGACATAGAGCAAAAACACTTCCTGATACTGTTGCTGCTGTTTGAATGGATGCTGCAATACTTCCAGCTGCTACACCCGCTGCTGTAAATCCTACAACTCCTAAGACGGGTAAAACTGCCAGTGGAGCTGTTACAGCAGCTGCCGAGCCAATGACACATACTTTTGTGATTGTAGAGCTCTCACTCCACTTGGTCTTGGCAGTAGTTTTAATAAATTTTCCAGCTTTTTTGAATTGTTCCATGGTTGAATATTGTAGATTTGAAGATTTATAAATAAAGTTAATTGAATAGCTTGTGAGAATAATATTTTAGTTGTTGTAATCCAAAAATTTTTATCTAAGCTAATCGTTTAAATACAAACTATTAACAGGGAGTAAACTTTCGTAATCAATGATAAAAGACGCAACGATAAGCAAAAAGAGACAAAGAAAAAGAACTAATGACATATACTTGCGCAAGTGCAAGGTGAAATGCGTCATTCTTGTTGTTGACTTTCATTCGACTGGGAAATTTGATAAAAATTTTGACAGTAATCTGAACACTCACTTTTTCTATTATAACTCTTACCTCTACCTTTCACGATTTCTCCCTGAGAATAAATCAATAATTTCGTTACCAACATGCATCAAATAAACCTAAACTTCATCAATTGTAGATATACTCATACTTTTATTAAAAACTAACGCAGTTTCTTTTAAAACGAAATAAAAGCATGGGCATGGGTAGATGAAGAAAAGAAAAAGAATAATACACACTCGCAACCACCCATATTTAGTCTATGTTTATGTTTGATTTATTCTAATTTTGCAAGTATCTAGCTTCATTTCAATGCTTATGCTGAACTGATAACGATATATTCATTATTCATTTCTACATTTGCAAAAAGAAGATGTATACTATGAATACTGCCGTGTAACATTTGATCTATGTCCGATGGATACATATTGGTTATAGGTATTTTACAATGAAAATAACTTAATGAGGATACATAATTTTGTAGTAAACGTGCAATATTGTGGCATGAAATTCGAAAACCTTCAAACGGACATATTGTAATTTGAAGTTTCTGTAAACCAGGCACACATCGAAGTAGTGACTCTAAGAATTCAAACAAACCTATTGAATTCTCACATTCAATTTCTAAATGTCGAAGAGCACGATGAATAACAATACCATCAGGAATACTGTTCTCGTCAACTTCAACGAAACCGTCATTAACGTACTCAAATATAGTAGTAGAATAAAATTGATCTATAATTAGTTTCAGTTTGTGTAAATTTGGACAGGAAAGAAGAAGTGTTCCGAGAAAACGAGGTCGATTGATCCAACAAATTTCTAGTTCTCGAATGGATGAACTGCCAGTCCATGTTTCGATTGCTGGTGGAAAAGAAACAGAAGTTAAACAAGCTTTATATAAATGCGGAAAACCGTTCGAGAATTCACGATTGTGAAGTAGAGTCCACCATTGAACAATGGCACGACGAACACTGTTGACAGTCAAGTATTTAAGATGTGGGAAGAATTCTGGACGAATCTTGCATACCAGTTCTCTGCCAGGATTGTGTAAAATTAACGACTGAATGCGAGGAAATCGAGTCATATCGATGTATTTGCTTTCATACAGTGAAAGACAAATAGTTCTAGGGGCGAAAAAATAAGCACGCTTTATGTCCGGCAAGTAATCATTGTTTACTT